GTTTCTAAAAGTCCCCTGGAATATTCCCTTTATTTAACAACTTACGAGTTCACTTCACAATCTCGGCCTGGACACCAAAGCTATCTCAACTTTAAGCAACTCCATAGACCGACGCAATCTTGATGTAGCATCCAAACCAATCTTGCTTCTACCTTGTTTCCAGACCTACCTCATCTTGATTTATTTTCCCAACCCATCCCGGCCGCACCAACCCATGCAGCAACCCACGTCCTGACCTTCATACATATCCCATGCCTCTGTCTCTCATCCCGACTCATTTCACCTCGACCCATGTCCTCAGTCCACGGCAATATAGTCTCCCTTTCCTTTGTTCCAACCCCTGTCAAACCCATACCCTGATTCCCTCTACGCACATCCTATACCCCTAGCCGAACCCATAGACATTTCCACATCCACCCTATGCTACTAACCCATGTTTAACCCCCCCACACCCACACTACAACCCCTCTACCAACCCTTAGTTCTAACCCCTGCCCTCCCTCGACCCACAAGAACTGACCCATCCCGTGGCATCTCCCTTTACGAGTGTCTGGGGGATCACCGTGGTCTTACTTCATTTTTCTTGCCTCAGACAAGCGGCATTACTTTCTACGAACCATTAGTTTTCCCATGAACACAAAAACACGACGAGGGAAATAAGAGAAAAGCGAAAAGCGGTCTTCATATATGTCTTGAACAAGTTTGTTTTAGGTTTTACGTCAGACAGGAATGTAGTTAGAGTGACATCTTTCTCTACAAATTGTAAAAAAAAGACACTCAATTCAGTTGGTTGGTCTCATTAGGAGAGAATTTTAAATCTAGATAGAAGTCCGGCGGAACGGAATCGCTGTCTCGTGAAATATTAAGGAGACAGATGATAATTAACTAAATATGAACGAAAAAACGTCATTGGTTAATTCGCTTCGATGCTGTATTTATTAATGTAATCAACATATTCATTTATTCATCTAGCAATTGTGCTTCATGTTCTCGCATTTATTCATTTACAATGGTCATTCATCAATTCATCAATTCCTCTATTTTACACACTGATTCACTCCTCTCTCTCGTTATTTTTTTTTTTATTTATTTATTATTTTTTTTAAAATCTTTCTATGATGTACTTATCTTGTTCACCACTCTCTCTTCTGTTCTACTCGTGTTCCTATTTTAGTATTAATGATATACTGTACCACTCATCTCATCAAACAGATAGGGAAAAAAAACGCATTCACATATACACACAAACTACTTTCCTCTCTCCACCTATCTCTTTTACTCGTTAAAATTATTCACTTTAATTGATTTACTTTGCCAGCCAGCCAGCCTGCCTGCCTGCTTGCCTGCCTGTCAGTCTGTCTGTCTATCATCGACAGTCAGGTTCACATATGCGGTGTAGCAGCAGTTGGATTGTAGTTCACTATCTATGTCTTGAAGGCGAGGTAAAATCTTTAGTCGTTTTAATAAAATTTTTGAGTACAGGTTGATAGGTATGGTCAGAACTGCAGAAGTTAGGTCTGACTAGTCTAACCCTCAGGTGGCTTGAACTCTCTCTTTCTCTCTTTCGCTTTCATCCTCTCTCTCTCTCTCTCTCTCTCTCTCTCTCTCTCTCTCTCTCTCTCTCTCTCTCTCTCTCTCTCTCTCTCTCTCTCTCTCTCTCCTTCCCTCTCTCCCACTTTTTTTTTCTCTCTCTCAAACACACACACACGCTTTCTCTCTCTCTCTCTCTCTCTCTTTCTCTCTCTCTTTCCTTCTCTCTCTCCCCCCTTTTTTTTATCTCCCACACACACACGCTCTCTCTCTCTCTCTCTCTCTCTCTCCCCTTCCCTCTCTCCCACTCTTTTTTCTCTATCACACACACACGATTTCTCTCTCTCTCTCTCTCTCTCTCTCTCTCTCTCTCTCTTTCTTACTGTCCCCTCTTCGCTCTCTCCCCTTCCCCCTCCCCCACTCTTTTTTCTACCTCTCCTTCCCTCTGTCCCTCTCTTTCAAACATTCACACTCGCATACCCCCCCCATCCTCCCACCCACCAAACCCCTCCTCCCACCCTCTCCCTCCATCCCCCCTTCTCTCTCTCTCCCGCAATCACTTACCGGCGGTGTGTCGAACATATAAATATCGGTGCCCTTCAAAGCGATGAACTTAGGCTTCCAATTTTGCCACGGAAGATTCTGATTGAGTACTCCCTCGCACACCCAGCCCATGTACAGCACGTGTTCGGAGGCTGGGAAGCTGGAGTTGTACAGCTTCATCTGCAAGTAGACGGTAAGGCAGCGGATGAGATTGAATATTGCACTGAGGGATATGAGGAAGGTGGAAAGAGGGGGGGGGGGAGCGTCTGGGTATGTCTGTTTCTCTGCATGGATTTATTGATGTATGTATGTTGGAATGCACTGTATGTATGTGTGTGTGTATGTATGTATGGATGGATGTGTGTATGTATGTATGTATGTATGTATGTATGTATGTATGGATGGATGGATTCATGTATGTATATATGTCGGCAATCATGCATGCATATATGTACGAATATACGCTTGAACATATGCATTTGCGTATGTGTGTATACATCAATCCTTTAATTATAATGGTGATAACAATGTTGACGATGACAATGATGATGATATTAATAGTAAAAACAATAATATTGATACTACTGAAGATATTGACAATAGTAATAATAATAATAATAATAATAATAATAACAATTATAACAATAATAATAACAATTATTACAATAATAATAACAATTATAACAATAATAATAACAATAATGATAACAATAATGTTAATGATGATGATAAAAATGAGAAAAAATAATCATAATAGCATCATCATCAACAACAACAATAATAATAACAATAGCAACTTATGATAACAATAATAATGATAATGATAATAATAATATTCGCATAAAAGGTATAAAACGAAATGATCCTAAATATCACAGCGAATAACAGTATCAAATTCATCCAATGCAAAGACGATTTTAAAAAGGGATAAGATACCGCAAAGCTCGCACTTAAACATCTCGGATAAGGCACCTGTTATCGGTATAGCCTCGTCCTTCAGCTAAAACACAGCGGAAATGCCAAAGACACAGCCGTGCATGTAAAATAGTGCCACAGGAAGCAGATTCCGGAGAAATGTTGCAATCGGGAATGGGATGTGATTTATCTTTCGTAATAGCGTGGGAAATGCACCGCGGATAGAGTAGGAATTCGATGAAAGTCTACGGGATTTTCCACCCGCATTTCACAGGGTCAGTCTTTTATGGAGTAGTTTTCTGTGACTCTCAAAGTGCTCTTCGGACACTCAATTCCTTCAGAGCAGATGGCGACGAGGAAATTGTAAGCATTATGCGTAACGTAGCTTATGCACTACAGCGTAATTTCAACATTCAGTTTATATGAATACCATCTCATGTTGGCATACGCAAGCACGACCACTTAGACAAATTGGAGAAGTAAGCCAGCAGCAAAGATACGGTGATCTTGGTATGCCTCTTACTAGGATTGCAAATATATTGAAAAGTTCTCATAGGAAAAACTAGTAGATCTGAGGAATACTCAAAGGCCTGAAAGCTGTACCACGAAGCACTACGATAAGTATAGAGATATCAAGCCTTCCTATGGGTGGCACCGAAGTCAAACTAGACAATGTGACGTAGTTATTGCCAGAATACGTTTAGATTACAGAATGTACTGGCAACTGCGCTGTGCAAGAAGTGCAGATGAATCTAGATATAGACTGTGTAACGAAGAAAACAAGCGAACATTTGAGCACTATATCTCGGAATGTCATGTGATACAGCCTTTCAGACCACCTAGCATTAGGTCTAAACAACTATGTGAATATTTCATTTCATTTAATACACTGGACGATAGACTGGTGCTACATCCTATATTTACTATGTAAAACTGGCGTAAACAAAGAACAGTGTTATGTAAACACAGTGGCAAAATCATATCAACGTAATATTCTTTTGATGATTTATATTTTTTATTTTACCATGTACAATTACATTAGTCACAGAATACTGTACCATGTCAAATGTACGTAAAACTCTAATCACGATTGGTCACGCCTGAGCGGATAGCCAGAGTGGTAAATAAACTTACTTTACATAATTTGAGTCTTCAGTATTAGAATTACTAGGTCTTAATGATTGATCTAATGTTAGCAGTGATACACAAAATTTCATCTAAAATCACAATTCCATCTAAAGTCAGTGAATTTCTAGCTATATCATTGAATTCATCGTCGTGAATATCTAATATAGATTATTGTTTTGCACGTACCCTAGCTATGAGGATTATAATAGTGAAATGTTTACATACATACATTCGTATGTATGTAAACATTTAGAATTTTGATTATTACCACATTTTTAAAATAATTTCTATTATTATTATTAGCACTGGTATTTTTATTATTAGTATTATAAACATCATAGTTATCATCATTACTATTATCATCATCATCTTCATGATGATGATGATGATGATCATTATTATTATTACTATTATTATTATTATTATTATTATTATTATTATTATTATTAATATTATTATTATTATTATCATTATCATTATTATTATTAAATCATTATTATTGATATCATCTTTATCATTTTCATTTGTATTGTTATTATCATTATTATTACCATCACTATACATACATATATATATGTATATATATATATATATATATATATATATATATATATATATATATATATATATATATATATATATATATATGTATATATATATATAGACATATGCAACATATTTATATATACATATGTGTATATGTATGTATGTATATATATATATATATATATATATATATATATATATATATATATATATATATATATATGTGTGTGTGTGTGTGTGTGTGTGTGTGTGTGTGTGTGTGTGTGTGTGTGTGTGTATAAAGAGAGAGAGAGAGAGAGAGAGAGAGAGAGAGAGAGAGAGAGAGAGAGAGAGAGAGAGAGAGAGAGAGAGAGAGAGAGAGAGAGAGAGAGAGAGAGAGAGAAATGCACGGATATATAAATCAATGAATATAGTTATACATATATATAGATACACTAAAACTGTTCGGAGCGTATAAATCTATGTACTAAAAAGAATATTGGATACCACAACCGTTTGGAAAAAAAAAACGAAACCTACCACCAGCGCCTCTAGCGGAACAAATAGAAAACTAAACTCGGTAGAGTGTATTTATACGACTCAAGAGCATCAGCGGTGCCTTGTAAGCGGTAATCACGGCTTCGGCATGATAGTGTAGCAGGCAATTTTCATGTCGTTTCCCTAGTGAGTAGTTGCAGCAATCGGCAGTTTCCGGCACATGAATTTAAAGATATAGAGCCGTTGATAAGCATCAGCAGTACTACGGTGTTCTCTATTTCTCTATGTTTCTCAATCTGTTTTTTTTTTAAGTCTCTAATCCGTACATCTATCTATCTATATCTATATTTTCATACCCACCTTTCTATCCACATCTACTTAGCTGTATCTGCAGTGAGGCTATATATTCCTCTACCCATCCATCTATCAATCAATCTATCTATCATGGCTATCCCAAGACCTGGCAATATCAAACGGAAGACTCAAAGTGAACAAGAAGGATTAAAGGTGACATAGTGATATTGTAATTAAGTTTCCTGCAAAGCGGAGGATAATTATTATTATTATTATTATTATTATTATTATTATTATTATTATTATTATTATTATTATTATTATTATTATTATTATTATTATTATTATTATTATTATTATTATTATTATTATTATTATTATTATTATTATTATTATTATTATTATTATTATTATTATTATTATTATTATTATTATTATTATTATTATTATTATTATTATTATTATTATTATTATTATTATTATTATTATTATTATTATTATTATTATTATTATTATTATTATTATTATTATTATTATTATTATTATTATTATTATTATTATTATTATTATTATTATTATTATTATTATTATTATTATTATTATTATTATTATTATTATTATTATTATTATTATTATTATTATTATTATTATTATTATTATTATTATTATTATTATTATTATTATTATTATTATTATTATTATTATTATTATTATTATTATTATTATTATTATTATTATTATTATTATTATTATTATTATTATTATTATTATTATTATTATTATTATTATTATTATTATTATTATTATTATTATTATTATTATTATTATTATTATTATTATTATTATTATTATTATTATTATTATTATTATTATTATTATTATTATTATTATTATTATTATTATTATTATTATTATTATTATTATTATTATTATTATTATTATTATTATTATTATTATTATTATTATTATTATTATTATTATTATTATTATTATTATTATTATTATTATTATTATTATTATTATTATTATTATTATTATTATTATTATTATTATTATTATTATTATTATTATTATTATTATTATTATTATTATTATTATTATTATTATTATTATTATTATTATTATTATTATTATTATTATTATTATTATTATTATTATTATTATTATTATTATTATTATTATTATTATTATTATTATTATTATTATTATTATTATTATTATTATTATTATTATTATTATTATTATTATTATTATTATTATTATTATTATTATTATTATTATTATTATTATTATTATTATTATTATTATTATTATTATTATTATTATTATTATTATTATTATTATTATTATTATTATTATTATTATTATTATTATTATTATTATTATTATTATTATTATTATTATTATTATTATTATTATTATTATTATTATTATTATTATTATTATTATTATTATTATTATTATTATTATTATTATTATTATTATTATTATTATTATTATTATTATTATTATTATTATTATTATTATTATTATTATTATTATTATTATTATTATTATTATTATTATTATTATTATTATTATTATTATTATTATTATTATTATTATTATTATTATTATTATTATTATTATTATTATTATTATTATTATTATTATTATTATTATTATTATTATTATTATTATTATTATTATTATTATTATTATTATTATTATTATTATTATTATTATTATTATTATTATTATTATTATTATTATTATTATTATTATTATTATTATTATTATTATTATTATTATTATTATTATTATTATTATTATTATTATTATTATTATTATTATTATTATTATTATTATTATTATTATTATTATTATTATTATTATTATTATTATTATTATTATTATTATTATTATTATTATTATTATTATTATTATTATTATTATTATTATTATTATTATTATTATTATTATTATTATTATTATTATTATTATTATTATTATTATTATTATTATTATTATTATTATTATTATTATTATTATTATTATTATTATTATTATTATTATTATTATTATTAT